GAAATACCAGTGAATAAAGTGCCAGAGAATGAAGCTCTTTCTCCCACACGTGTCACACACAGGATATTTTTCATAATGATTTATCCAACAAGTAACTGTGAACAGTCTTGCCAGGGGTCTTGAGTCTAAAATATCTGTAAGAACCTCATATAGAGAAGAATCTGATTGTAAGCATCCCCATAAATTGCCTGAGGCCTATGAAGGTCCCCTACTTGGATCAGAATCACATACAAGATATATGCAAAGAACTGGGGGAGATGAAATCTCCTCTGAGCTTAGATTTAAGTAACAATCCCCTCTCTTGTAGTTTGCAGCAAGCTGCGGTCCCTTTGTTAGCTCAGACTTTACAAAACAAACTTGCATGAAATTCCAGTACAGATCTGTGGATACCTCTATCACAGTGAACTGTTTGGCCTTTCTGACAATCGTCTCAAATATCTGCCTAAAGAAATGGTAAACCTCAAAAACAAACAAACAAAAAAAAAATCAAGGAAATTTACCTCCAGAAAAATAGATTTCAAAGTTTTTTCCCAAGGAGCTTTGTCATACTGCTAATTCAGAAATAATAGATCTAAAGTACAAAATATAATCAGTGTCATCACAGAAGATGACAATCAGATACAGGAGTTATTTGGTCCTTTGTTTTAATTTATATTTTATTGATACTTCCCTTTTGCAAAATCTGAGTTCTTCATTACAGCTGTGTGCCATCTTTCTTTACTACAGTGAGAAGGCGTTCACCACCTGGTATGCACCTGAGCCTGGGTTATTCATCACTGTATTCAGGCAAGTAGAAGAAAGCAAGAATGTGGAAACACTGACCTTTGTGTTGAATTATAAAGATGAAATCCCAATTGGCCAGCCTGCTTCTGTTGTTTTGAGTCTTTTTTTTTTGTGTACACTGAAAAGTAAGAACTGCATTTGCTTAGACTCAATACAGTGACGTTAGTGAGGCTCTGGCACAGCCTGCCCACAGAAGTTGTGGCTGCCATCCCTGGAAGTGTTCAAAACCAGGTTGGAGGAGGCTTTGAGCAACCTGGTCTAGTGGAAGGTGTCCCTGCCTGTGGCAGGGGGATTGGTACTGGATGATCTTTAAGGTCCCTTCTGACCCAAACCATCCTGTGATTCTATCACAAACTGAAACAGAGTAGATAGCAATTTAAAAATGTATGTAGTATTATTAATGCCTTTAACACCACTAACATTTGCAGTTCATTTGATTTGTTTGGAAATACGGAGGATGATTCCAGGCAGGCAGAACACATGCACTTCTACTGGAACCTGCCTTTCCATCCTGTCTTACGGAGGTGTAAAAGCTGTTCTGAGAGTATCCCTACACTTCTGCAAAACTCTTCTCTGATGTTTTGACAGTCTTTAGTTAACAGTATTTTGAATGACTGCAAGCTGTCAAATCCTTAGTGTCACAGCTCATCTCTGAGGTAGCTTGGTGACAGTTTGTAAAACACCTGTGTACAACAGGCTTATTTTAAAGCAGGGAGTCTGCAGAATGCAATATTCAGCAACGATTCTGGGTCCTGCCGTGTCATAACGCCTTTGTTATTCAAAATAACCATGACAAATACCCCTTACTAAATTCTAGTATGCCAAATTTACACGCAGCCATGTCTTCCCACAGCACTTTACAGCTGTTTGGCCTACACACCTGATGTCCTTTTCTAGTTTTTATTCTGTATTGCTCGATGACTCCTTAAACCCCTCCAGAATTTCATTTGCAGCATACATAAAGCATAGGGAAGCACCGGGATCTGCCACTGCGATTTAAAATGCACAAGCGGGTGGGAGCAGACCTCTTTATTCAGTTTAACTGGTTGGTCAGAACTGCAGTCCTGCTGGCCATCCCCTTGACAGAGTTGCCTTAGAGAAGGTGCTGGCATCTGGAAGGAGGTGGTGAAGGCTCACTGAGACCCGGCTCTTCCTAGAGCTCCACCTCCAGGTAGTGCTCTCTAAATGCTGCGGCTACATAGATGCAGACCTTATTTCTGTTTGGTTCTTGAATCAATGGATACCGAAACACCATTAACACGCCTGCTGGCAGGAGAGAGCTGGGAGTGCAGAAAAGTGGGATGGCTCAGTTTTGATTTTCCATTTTACTAGGTAACTGATGCTGGTTTGATTGTTTGGAGGTGTCTTACAAAATTTTTTCATCCTAAGTGAAGGCAAAGAGAAACAGAGAAGAATTATTCAGAGGCTGCAGAGGAGGAAATCATGGGAAGAAAGGTTTCCAGGAAGACTGGCAGATAGACAGGACATTTAACAGAAGTGCTTTAATAAAAGCTTTTTAATGGCACAATAGATATGACAGACTCATGAGAAGGCAAAGGCCTGGGAAAGTGATCATGAGCAGCAAGTGGTGAGGTTGCAAACAGTCTATATTGTGCTTTGGAGCTCAGAATGAGGACCCAACTAAGTCAAAGCAAGAAACCCCAATGCTGAAGTCCACTTCAGTCAGTAAGATTACAACAAATCTCAGATATTAAACATGGGTCAGCTGCTTTACTGAATTAGAGAGGGAGAGAGTTGAGAGTTTCAAGTGGGAAAGCTGTGACTCAGAGCAGATAAAGCATCAATTTCCCAGTTGGCCTAAAGGCAGATTTGAGGAGGACAGGTATAGAAAAGGAAAGGCATAGAAAAGCAAGTGATCAAGAGGCTGGTGTCCTGCTGTTAAACAGAAATGATGGTAATTCCATATTAGAGTCACTCTCCTGGCTTAAGTTTCTGATTGACAGTCTCTCTTGTTAGCCCTGTATGAAACTGGGGCTCTTTGCTTCATTTCAGAAGTTGAGGATCTCTGTAGAAAATAACTGATGCCACACTGCAGAAATTCCCAGCTACCTCTGACCAAGATACTCCAGTTCACCTCATGTTTCTGAGAGCTGCGGGAGCCAAGCACACTTTTCATGTGGAACTGAAACTGGAACCAGAGAGTCCATGGAGACCCTCACACAAAACTATGGATTAAACAATCGAGAGGTATCATCACACCATGCTCAGCTGCTGGTTATAACCCTGACCAGCCAGAAGCTGATGTTGGAAGGGTCACCTAGACTGAATATTGATGTACATCTGCATGAGAGGGGTCCTAGCAAGTTAAGAAAGTGCAACTTTGTGCCTCTCCTTCACAAGATTGCTGTAGCATGTAGATATACTCAGAGCTAATTCAGCAGTACTTTATCCCTCAAGCTGCCTTGGGATTTCTCTAAGACTCCTCACCCAGTGGGCAGATCTTATCTCTTTACTTCCTAAAATACCTTTCCAATGAATAATCCCACTGCAGTCTTTGAGCTCACTTGTGGGTTAACATGCTCCATGACACGAGTGACTATGCCGGAATTCAGCGCTGTTTAAGCAAATACAGAAAAATGCCAAATAAATTATCAAATAAAAAAAAGGAAGAACTACTTACACATCCCAAGTTGGTGCTTTTTCTAACAGTTCTTGGTCACAGATCAGGGCGCTGTGCTCTTAACTAGAAGATGCCCTGTGGCTTTCAATAATAGACTTTGCTTATTTCCTTCATCTTTAGGGTGAGTATAAGAACATTGTCTATGTTACAAGGTGTTGTGAAGGTTAATGGATTAATCCTGAATGTGGGAAGCATGAAGGCACTGTGGGAACTCCCACTGGCTTTCATACGCTGTAGATCAGACTCTTACATCTGAAAGTTTGTTTTTTGTTGTTGTTGGGTTTGGTTTGTTTTGGGTTTTTTTTGTGCTGCATGTCATAAACGGGTCTGTACAGAAAGTGCAGTCTGAAACAGCTCAGGATGAGAAGGGGCATCCCTGAAGTTTCCTGAAGTCTTTGCATAGCCTTACCCAGAATGCTTTTGGATTGCTCTGTATACAAACTTCCGTGCTAAGGTAGCAGGACATCTCTCTCACTTAACCTACCACAGCATTTTCCCTGTCCCTGACACCTGCAAAGACACCGATCAACTTGATTTTATGTTGATTCTGTACACAGGACTCATCCACACTATGAGATGGCATCAAAGGCTGAGCCGAGGCAGAACAGCTCCTTATGTATTTTCCTTACTGGACTAATATATAATCCTGAGTTGTCCGGATGCTGTCCAAATCTCACAATTTTACAGATTCACAAAGAGGCAAAAGTTTTGGGGGAGAAGAAACTAAAATTTAGAACATAGAGGTTTCAAGTATTTTCAGACGTTTTTCTTACGTACATGAGGCCACATTCACACTGCCCAGCCACCTGCATTAGCAAACACCCCAGCCACTTCCTGCTCTTGGCAAACCTGCAGTGTGTCCATCTGAAATCATCATTGCTCATTTGACAGTAGTCACTGTGGTATTCATAACACAAAGATTAAGCATATATAGTAGTGTGAGCATGGCCCAGAGAATCTGAGAGAGTATGTTATTAACCATAGAATCATAGAATAGTTAGGGTTGGAAAGGACCTTAAGATCATCAAGTTCCAACACCCCTGCCATGGGCAGGGACACCTCGCACTAAACCATATTACCCAAGGCTTCGTCCAACATGGTCTTGAACACTGCCAGGCATGGAGCATTCACAACCTCCCCGGGCAACCTATTCCAGTGCCTCACCGCCCTAACAGGAAAGAATTTCTTCCTTATATCCAATCTAAACTTCCCCTGTTTAAGTTTTAACCCATTACCCCTTGTCCTATCACTACAGTCCCTAATGAAGAGTCCACCCCCAGCATCCCTATAGGCCCCCTTCAGATACTGGAAGGCTGCTATGAGGTCTCCACGCAGCCTTCTCTTTTCCAGGCTGAACAGCCCCAACTTTCTCTGCTTGTCTTCATACAGGAGGTGCTCCAGTCCCCTGTTCATCCTCGTGGCTCTCCTCTGGACTTCTTCCAACAGATCCATGTCCTTTTTATGTTGAGGACACCAGAACTGCACACAATACTCCAGGTGAGGTCTCACAAGAGCAAAGGGGCAGGATCACCTCCTCCGACCTGCTGGTCCGCTCCTTTTGATGGAATGGATGGAATAATCTGCGCATGCAGAAGGTTAAATAAGTTTTTTATAATTGTGGAACTATTTCAGGAGTTCTTATGAGACGAGATCGCTAAAACCTGGACTGTCTTCTAAGTCAGAGACACATAATACTTGGTTCATGTGCTGCTTGTGAAAGGCCTTCCAGAAACCTTCAACCTCCATCAACAGTCAAAACGAATGTTTCTTTTGTTGTCTTGGTTAAAGCTTTCCAGTTGTTCCCGTTGTAATTCTGAAAGGACCCATCTTTGCATCCCCAGTTCTGCCAAGGCAGGTTGCTTTGTCAATGCTGCTGACAACTCACTGAACCACATCCCACAGTCACGGCAGGACGATGGGCGAAGACTGACGTCCAGCTCTGAGAGTTCTTTGAATACTGTTAAGCCTTGACAGAACATGACCCATCCTTCCTCAGATACATTGTTATTATAACTCAAATCCAGCTTCTGTAATCTGGCTAGGTGACCATCCTGCGTCAGCAATGCTGCAAGAAATTACAGACACAAACACAACTAATACATCCTCACAACTGCCTTAAAAGCTTATAAGTAAGAATAGTAGTATTTTAATACCATATTATTTAAGACTTTTCAGCAGTCAAACAGCAAGATTCAACTCCTCAGCAACATTAAATCACATGCTGTTGATGTCAGAAAAACTTTTATCACAGCTGAAGGAGTGTACAACATTTAAAACACAGGCAATTCAAAAGGAACAGAAGTATAGGGTTAAAATTGCATGACAGCCTGAAAACCTTTGAGTCAGTTGGATAGAAACTGTATGCAGTGCTAATTAAAATAGGCAGAGAAGCTTTACAGGGAGACAACTACAGGCTGGGCAGAGATGGATCAAGAGTAGCCCTGACGAGAGGGACTTGGGGGTGTTGGTTAATGAGAAGCTCAACATGATCCAGCAGTGTGTACTTGCAGGCCGGGAAGCCAACCATATGCTGGGCTGCATCACCAGCAGCAGGACCAGCATGTTGATGGAAGGGATTTTCCCACTCTACTCAGCTCTCATGAGACATCCCCCCCCCCCCCCAGAGTACTGTGTTCAGCTAGGGGGCCCCCAACACAAGAGGAACATGGACCTGTTGGAGTGAGTCCAGAGGATAGCCATCAAGATGCTCAGAGAGCTGTAGCAGCTCTGCTATGGAGACAGGCTGAGAGAGTTTGGCTCAGGGGAGACAACAGGGGAGATAACAGTCTTCCAATACCTAAAGGGGGCCTACAAGAAATATGGAGAAGGACTTCTTACAAGGGCATGCAGTGATAGGACAAAAGGGAATGTTTTTAAACTTAAAGAGGGTAGATTTAGATTAGACATGAGAAATTCTTTACTATGAGGGTGCTGAGATACTGGAACAGGTTGCCCACAGACGTTTTGGATGCCCCATCCCTGGGCAAGTGTTCAAAGCCAGGTTGGATGGGGCTTTGAGCAACTTGCTCTAGTGGAAGGTGTCCCTGCTTGTGGCTGGCGGGAACCAGATGATCATTAAGGCCCCTTCAAACCCAAACCATTCTATGATTCTATGATTCTAAGATTTAGAAAGAGGAAAGCAAAACTAGATGAGGTTGTGTGATTACAACAGCCACTTCTCACTGTGGGTGGGTAATGGTCCCGATATACCCTAAAGGGAACTGGGATCCCTAATGTACAATTGGCAAAGGAGACACCCATCAAGGGTGGTGTTTATAAAGTCACAAATATTCAGGCTTCATCTCACCAGCCTTCAGATTACAGGGCCTTAATAACTGCCACGCAGCTATTGCCAGTCTCAGACACTCAAAACACATGAGTAAGGCCCACAGAATCACAAAGATGATTATAAACTAAACAGGTTTTTAAGGGATCCTAGAACTGATTCCATCATCAGGTTTCTGTTTTCCAGTATTTCTCAGCAGCTGCTAAGAGATGGGCAAAAGTATTTCTGATTTGATTCTTCTACAGTAGTGTGACACCCTGAAACACACCTAATGGACTGAGAGCTAATAGTGCCTGTATTACTGCCTGTCAGCATGTACATTTTCTAGAAATTACTGGACACAGAGCCAGCAACTGAATAAAATAAAACTCCTCACAGGCAGTTTAAACATCTGATATAAAAAACAGATGCAAACCCTACATTTTCCAAGTGCTGCCTTTTTGTATTAATACTTAAAACTACTAAAAGATTCTTTGTACTTTGTACACTTTTGCACTGTGCATGATGTACAGGACAGCCAGACTTCAGTAAAATAAAAAGCCTTTCTGGGTAAAATATTGCTTAATTTTCCATCTTTTCATTTGATTTACGCAAAAACGTGCTCAGCCCATAGAACAAGTGCCTTCTGAATTGTGGTCTGAATGCCCTGGCTCCTTGACTGTTAGTAAATACCATGTTATACGTACTTAGAAGTGCCAAATCTTCATCCACCAAGTTACAGCTGCTCAGTCTTAACACTTGAATCTCCATTGCAAGCTTTAGTGCTCCCAAAAGCAGCTTTAAGTTCCCACCAATGCACTTATTCCAGGAAAGGTCTAATATCTCCAGTTCAGGAAGGTGAAGGGCAGCCTCAGCTGAAAAGATTAAGACCAGCAACTTCTGCTTACTGAGAGAAAACAATACAGCTTCAATAGACAGCTCACCAACAATTCACCTGTAAACAGGCTTCTAACAGGCTGCCTACTTGTGCGGAGAATGACTTATTTCATCCTAATAAAAGTCAGAATAAAGAATATAAGAAGGGCCTGCCTACAGAATCTGTAAGAACTCTGTGGAGGGGTTTCTTGTCTTTATGTTATTGGCTTGACCTTGTCCCATTGAAGCCAATTTAACTTAACAGCTTGTTTTTAAACCATTTTGTATGAATTTAAAGACAGCAAATTCTTGCTGTGAACTCACCATGCAAGGTGAAATGCTCTGTATCTTTTGACAACACCAATTTCCATGATGTCGCTCTTCCATATTGTAATGATATAAATACAGTACTTTTTCCTGCAGGGACCTCAGACCAATTTAGCTTTCTACTGCTTCTGCTGAAGGCAGTAAAATTTTACTACAGGTTTCAATGTCACTAGTAAACAGTACAAAATAAGTGCATTTTGTGGTAACTAACTGATCCCTCCTAGGGGTACTCAGGTTTCATGTGCCATATGGAACACTTACCGAAAGTACAGTGTAGCCACTAATCCACTGGGATTTGCAATAAGTAGGCAAAAGAGACTGAATTTACATGTCCCACGTTAGACCGGACTTTTCTTCATAGCTATGCAGTCTCTTTTCTACTAATGCAGCCATTGCTTCAGTTCCTCCACTGCCCCATGCTTAACTCTGTTCCAGAGAGTTTCTACTGAAACTTTCACCAGCAGTGAGGTGAAAAACCTTCAGTCAGAACTTTACCCCATTAAACTGCAAATGCAGTGTTACAACCAAACTATAATTACAGCATAATATAAAATCATGTTTTCCTTTCTCTTCCCAAATTAGGAAGTATACAAAAGCTCGCTATCAGACAAAAGACTAAAAGGACTTCATCCAGTTAGGTATAATGGGCGAAAACAGACAATGGCCTGCCCTTGCAGCTGGGTCCCACAAAGCACCGGTTTCATCACAGGCTTTTTCAGCTGGGACCTGTGGTATAATGTAGCCATAGTCTCTGGAGTTCAGCCAGTGGAGAATGAAGTACTTATCCCACAAGGATACGTAGAGAATAGACACTCTTTAAAAAACCATTCCTATCTAGTGATGAAAACGACTCTTCACCTAAACCACAATTGCTGATGGCCACAGATTTCAACTTCAGTAACAACCTGAGCCTGCTCAGAAGAGGTCCAGATGAGACGTCCACATTTTTATTCGAGGATAAATTCAGCTCTTGAAGGCTGGAGAGTAAAGGTATCACCTGGGCTGTGAAAACATGAAATATTTATTAGACAGTCACCAATCCAAAACAAACATGTAGTTGTATACTTGCTTGACATAATTTCTGCTCTTTATAAATCAATCCAAAAGTGAAGGCCAAATTCTGACACTCAGATTTATGGTGAGTAATGTTTTAGTCCATAAATAGCCTTTTTATTTTCAGTAGGAATGTTTAAGAAATTAGGTATTACATACTGTGTGGAAGGTCGTCAGAACACAGCTTCCTTTGAAATTTTGTAGGTGAAGTAGGGAATTTAACATTAAATGAGATGGGGGTTATTTCTAAATGTCTTTGCTGATAACTGAAACTCCTTTGTATTAATGCTATTATTTTCTATTAGTCAATAGATTAAAAATAAATTATGTTTGCTATTAGTAATAGTCAGTATTTCCCAGTGCTTCAGCAGTAGCTTTTCAAATTGTTTTCTTTATCATGGAAAATAAGACGTAGGCAATATAGGCTTTGAGTCATGGGATTTTATTGTTATTGTTCTAAAGAGTAAAAAAACCAATGTCAAGATATTGTGATAATGCACACAGAAAAATTAACTGGCTCACTAGGTTAGGCGGAATCTCTTACACCTTTGAGTGCTTTCAGAAGTCAAACCCTACATTCTTAATGGATTTCCTCAATATGTTCTTACGCAAAATGGTCATGTCCTATTCTGTTACACAGCACTGGTGGAAATCAAGGACTTCAAGATTTTTCAAGCTGGCCAAATGAGCTGTTGAGTCTTTAAAGCCACCACCAATCTCTTTGTTACATGATAAGTCTAATTTCCTTAGGTCTGCAAGGTGCTGTAAAGCAGAGTCTCAAATGGAAAAGGGAGCATCCTGGTCACCGGCTGCCACAATAGCACAGGTCACAGCTTTAGCATTTATTTATTTACTTCAACGTCAAAGTTTGCACAAGGTAGTGCAGGCAAAGCTCTTAGACTAAGCTTCAGTATATAATCACAGGAGACATACAGTAATACCACAAAGCTCCCCCGTCTTTGCAACTCCATTCCTCTCTGAAAGAGCAGGTGAAGGTGAGGCCAGCTCATCCCCCAGATCCAGTCAATCCTCAGCATTTTGCTGAAATTACTACTGGATGTGATAATCAGTGGCAGTTGGTTTGTCTTCTGGATAAAACCTCCACTAGGGAGAGACACAGACAATGAGCGCATTTCATATGGCTTCACTAGACACTCATTAAGTGATGATGGTGAATTTGGATTTCCCCCTGAGAGTAGGGATTAGTTTGTTAAACGTTAGCTAGAGTGTCTGGGCCTTGTCTGTTCTGTCTGGGGAGAGAGGAAGCATGTCCACAGAGCCACTAATCTACCCTAAGAAGTGTCTCAGATAAATGGTGTGGAGGGTGACTCTCCCCACTGACTGTCACATGCTTGAGCTCAGGGAAGATAAATGCTAGTCCTTCTGAAAGTCTCTGTAGTCTTTTCTCAATCCTCAAACAGCAAATAACGATTGCCCATTAATACTGCCAAACCATCAGCAAAATCCCACCTCATTGCCTTTCTTAAATGGTTTTCAGATGTACAATTTATTCGGAATTAAAGTCTTTCAGAACATGAAGTCTAAACCTTGCTTGAATCCACACATGTGCAAGTTTAACTCTTTCAAGACTGGCACATTTTTCAGAGCCTGAGCAATAACCTTCATGCTGCAGCCAATGAGTTTGTTGATAGAGAGATCTAATACTTCAAGGTTTGGGATCACATTTAGAATTTCAGCTGGAAAAAAAAAAGAAAATAACAGAATTGGAAATTGTCTGCAATACATACAGATGAACCCTAGAAAAATATAGCACCATGGCAAACAAGAGGAGGTAGGCAGGTTTGCCTATATGTGTGGTTTAGACTTACTAAGTTCCTGTTCTACCTAAAAATACAGTAAGACAAAGATTGGATAGGAATAAAGAAAACCAATGAAAAAATCTGCCTCAAAATAAAGGTGAAAAAAAATACAAGGATAGCTAGGAAAATACAGGGGAATAAAAATCAGAAGTACGAGAAAGAAAAAATTATAATGAAAATATATACGACTTTATGCTGCATAAGGACCACCTGCTACAGTGCAGATGAGTGCATAGAGGTTTCTCTTTAGGGAGTAAGTATCTTTTGAAACACACAATCATATCCAAAGATGACACAGGATTAAGCTATGGTGAAAGAGAGGAGGGATGGTCAGTGGTTGCCGACTCAGCCTAAATCCTCATTGCTCAGGCCTTCTTTCCCATCCCACAGCTAACTACCTAATTTTAAGCAGTCAGTGTTGGAAATCCCGGCGTATATGATTTGCTCAGGGTCTCAAAGGATCAAGCAACCCTGGACCACCGAGGCAGCTAGACTGCGGATTAGATCTAGCTATTTTTCTTCTCAACCATACCTCCTGTGATTAGGGAGAACAACTTTCTTCCTTGAAAGAAAGTGCATTAAAATGCAACACTGTTATAATGCAGAGCCTGAAATAAATTAACTTTCTACTAACACTGAGCTCACTACAGCCATGGTCTAAGTCGATCAGGTTATATCTCCGTGAAGCCACCCACAGTCCAGCTACATCGATACACATACCACGGGATTCTCCATCTTTTGCCGTCAGGTTACAGTCTGTGATCTTCAGAAGTTTTAACTTGCATCCTTTCTGGATTTTTTTTGTCAGGAGTGATAGTTTTCCACCTATGTTACTGTTCCATGATAAATCCAGTTCTTCAAGTTGAGAAACAATTTCAAATGCCTCTCCTGTAACAGATGTTTAAGATGACTCATTCTAGGTATCAATTTCAGTGCAAGATGAAAACAAAGGTTTGGAATATATTAAAGAGGATGGTTAGTCACTTCATTCTCAAACTACTGTATTTCAAATGGCTTGCCACAAAAATTGGTATATGTGTGAATTGTTGCTACTGCAGCAATGTTGTATAAACTGTCACCTTGTCTAAGGAGCTAAACAGATCACAAGTCATTGTCACTGTACACACAGGCCTGGAATTTGTTCAGGTTCCCAAATCCCCATCAGACTGGCCACAATTGCAGACCTTTCCAGGACCCCAAAAATCTAGCCTATAGGAAAATCAATGCAAGTGACAAGTCTGAATTTATTGCCCTGTGTAGTTCTGCTCTATTTTATTTGTCAAGCTTCCAATGTCCTCTGTAGTGTGCCCACAGGTCATTTTGGAGGGGATGAAAGAAGGTCCTCTCCCAACTATTTCTGAATATGTAAAAGTTTCATTTCTGACTCACTTCATAAGAAATCAAGATGAGCATGGTTTTGACCAAAGCCAACTTTCCCATGATTTCAAGGCAAATGGCACTGATTTTGCTTACACTCAGAAAAAAAAAAGTCTTTTGCAGTCTTGATATACCTCCCAGTGTGAACTGGGTTAGTGCTTCCTTGCAATACTAACATGCCACTGCAAAATACAGCTTCCTAACTTCCTTTGTAGAGGAGGAAGGCAGGTGTATATTTGCATAAACTAAGTCCCAAAGAAGATCAATTAATCAGACCATATGCAAATACCATTTCAAAGTGCCACAAATTTTTATATGAAGTCTTGTCATCAACCTAGCAATTAAGAATTGCATATTAATAATAATAAAACACACATCTGTGTGTTTTCCAAATTAATTCTTCACAAAAGTTTTATAATAGAAAACCATTTCTGTTGTTGAAAGGGAATATCTAGGTCTGAGAGAAAAGGAGATGTTGCAGTTTCTGTTTCTGCACTTACTCAAAATGATTGCCTCATTCTTGAACACTAACCAATGCTCTGCAGCTGAGAAATCCTTTTGCCTCTACAGCATAGCCTGGTTCTGTTTGACATGGGGAGTACCATTCTAGACACATTTTCCACCCAGAAGATAAATAAAGGACTACAACTCCAGGAATGGTTTCCTATCACTTCTCATAGCTCTAAGCAATCACATAGGAGAGGCTGATATTATGGTTATATGATTTCTAAGCAGAATGCACTGAGTCCACAAGTGGCCACGTTTCCACAGATAAATATGAACATAGTCAAACA